CGATCTCGGCTCACCGCAACCTCCGCCTCCCGGGTTCAGGCAATTCTCCTGCCGCAGCCTCCTGAGTCGCTGGGATTACAGGCACGCGTCACCATGCCCAGCTAATGTTTTGTATTTTTAGTAGAGACGGGGTTTCACCATTTTGACCAGGATGGTCTCGATCTCTTGACCTCGTGATCCACCCGCCTCGGCCTCCCAAAGTGCGGGGATTACAGGCTTGAGCCACCGCGCCCGGCCTTTTTTTTTTTTTAAGACACAGTCTTGCTCTGTCGCCCAGGCTGGAGTGCAGTCACACAATCTTGGCTCACTGCAACCTCTGCCTCCTGGGTTCAAGCAGTTCTCTGCCTCAGCCTCCCTAGTAGCTGAGATTACAGGCACCCACCACCACACCCAACTAATTTTTGTATTCTTAGTAGAGATGGGGTTTCACCATCTTGGCCAGGCTGATCTTGAACCCCTGACCTTGTGATCCACCCGCCTCAGCTTCCCAAAGTGCTGGGATTACAGACATAAGCCACCACATCCAATCAGAGCCAAGTATAGTTCTAAGACAAGTATCTTGGTCCCTCATGATATAGGAATACATTACATGGCCTTGTTACTCAAAGTGTGGTCCATGGAAACTGCAGCCTTGACATCACCTGGGAACTTGTCAGAAATGTAGGATCCAGCTGGGCACAACGGCTCAATCCTGTAATCCTGGCACTTAGGGAAGCCAAGGCAGGTGGATCACGAGGTCAGGAGTTCGAGACCAGCCTGACCAAATGGTGAAACCCCGTCTCTAGTAAAAATGCAAAAATTAGCAGGATGTGGTGGCACACGCCTGTAATCCTAGCTACTCAGGAGGCTAGGCAGGAGAATCGCTTGAACCCAGGAGGCGGAGCTTGCAGTGACCCAAGATTGTGCCACTGCACTCCAACCTGGGTGACAGAGTGTGACTGTCTCAAAAAAAGAAAAAGAAAGGAAAGAAGGAAGGGAGGGAGGGAGAGAGGGAAAAGAAATGTAGGATCTCTGGCCAGGCGCAGTGGCTCACGCTTGTAATCCGAGCACTTTGGGAGGCCAAGGTGGGTGGATCACCTGAGGTCAGGAATTCAAGAGCAGCCTGGCCAACATGGTGAAACCCCATCTTAAAAAAAAAGAAGAAATGTAGGATCTCCAGCCCTTTCAGCTCTTCTGAATCAGGATCTGCAGGTGATTCATGCGCACTTGAAGTTTAGGAAGC